TTTTGAATACTATTTTATCGATTGTTTATCACTAAAACAAACTATGCAATTTAAAACTTAAGACACACTCTTTATGACTGTATTTTATTATTGCTGYATATATAACAATTATCCGATATTTATCATAAATTATTGTATGTTTATACTATAATATAATTATTATTTATTATTGAAGGTCTACTTGGTATTTTCAAAAATTATTTTTCAATTTCACATTAATCTGAATTTAATTTGTATTCCATATAATTTCTAGTAGATTTATTTTGACTGAGAGAAGGTTAAACGATTTTTTTTTAAAAACCACGATTTTCAAACAAATAATTTATATCTTGCCTAACTCAAGGTCTGCAGAAATAATAATTATATTTTATACTTCGATGTAAATTTATAACACAGTTTATTTTAACTAATTCTCAAATTATTCATAGACTGACTTCAAGGGTGAACCACAGAAGCTACTACACCGTGAAACTAGAGCTTTAGAAGTTATCACCCGGCTATTGGGAAGCAGCAGCGGAACTGTGGCTGGATCATCATCCAGTGGAACGGTAGGTCTCGAATTAGTATTTTCATAAGTGCAAGTACGCAGCTAAGAAGAACTTTACGTCTCTGCCAAAAACTTACTGATATTTTTGAAAATAATATGTTGTAAATAATTTTAAAATTATGGAAAAAATTTTATCCCGCCCCTCTGACTAATTATATTAATGTTTTGTAATTATAATTGTATTTATAATGAAATGAGTATAAAAGAGATAGTGTAAGAGTGGCTCCAATAGTTAACAAATTGCGTAAGAATARATTGAGATGGCTAGGACATGTTTTAAGAAGAAAAAAAACTRAGGCAGTTTCAGTGACAAAGAACACGAATGTGAATGGAAAAAGAGGAAGAGAAAGACCGAAAAAGAGATGGTTTGAAGTTATAGAGTGCRATATGAGAATGACTAGTGTTTGTGAGGAGGATGCCAAGGATCGAAGTAAGGGCTGTATGACATAAGCGCCAAAGGTACAAAAATGACCTTTCATTTRCGCCAAAATCTGTAGAACATAAGCGCCAATCTAATATTGTATACCTGCTATACCCAACATATGACATAAGCGCCAAAKGTACAAAAATAACCTATCATTTGCGCCAAAATTAATATTTTATATAAGTATTAAGTAGGTAGTTATTTAAAAATTTCTATATCTTATAAAAATTATATTATATTAATATTATYATGTTGATAGTAAATTATAATATAGGTATAGGTACATGCACATCAATATTTAATAGATTTAATAAATTGGTTGATTTTTCGAATAAAAATAAAATGTCGATAATAAATTATAATATACATGCACATCAATATTTTATACATTTAATAAATTGGTTGATTTTTTATAAAAATAAAATTACGAAATTACGAAATAGGTACTAACAATATGTTATAACATAAACTGCTCACCCACTGTCTATTTGACAATCTATCGTAATCAGATAATACATATTTTGTCGATTAAGATTAAGCGTTTGGAGTTTTTTTAATTTAATTCTGTTATTTAATTTCTGACGCTTTTGTACGATACGACTTGTTTTTCTTATCCCATGCATTTTGGCGCTTATGAACGATACGATTTTGGCGCTTTTGTACGATACGACTTTTTTTTTCTTATCTTATTTTGGCGCTTATGTCTTACACCGGTAGTAAGTGGAAATTGAGGACCAGGGTGGCTGATCCCAAATAGTTGGGAGAGAAGGAGAAGAAAAAGAAGAAGAATAAAAATTTTATTCATWATCTTTTTGAATTGTTTGTACATTTCTGGACCCTAGTTTTAGTTATAGTCTAATTATGATTACCTAATATAATCACCAACATAAATATAATCAAATCTACCTTGCTAAAGTTTTAAATATGAACAATTGATGTGTAATAAGGTCTTCAAAACTATGAATTTAGAGTGGTTTCGTAATTATTTAGTGCGTATACGTTTAAAATATAAAATTATGAAATTATTACGTTACAGTTGGACGCAGGAGCAGCTCCAGCTTCAGCACCAGCCGATACAAACAGTGGAAGCGGATCTGTATTAAATCTAGTCGCCCCATTGGTGGGAAGCAGCAGTGGTGTAAGTGAAATAAATAATAAATCCCCCCCTCATTGCCTGAAAACTACTCATTCGCTAAATGTGAATCCATTAAATTCACGTCCGTTTCTTGATGTGCGTATTTGGTATAGAGTGTAAGCGCTGGATCCTCGGGAGCAGCATCCGGAACAGGAGACGTCAGCAAAACTGACGGAAGTGGTCCGGACTTGGCTGGACCAAATGGAGCCACTGGTGGTAGCAGCTTTTCCAGTATTTTGTCTCTTTTGGGACCCTTGTTGGGTAGCAGCAGTGGCAGTGGTGTAAGTTTTTAGTTTATTCTACAAGAAAATGGCTATGATAAAAATATTATTATTTATTAGTTATTACRCGTAAATGATTGTGTAAAATAACCTATAAACTATAAAGTTTATACTTACAACTTAAGGTTGACGCAGGTTTTAAATGTTTAAGCTTTAAAAATATACTTACATATAACATAATAATATTTATAAATGAAAAGTATAATATTTRTAATTATATGCTGGTAGGGTAATGGCGGAGATGCCGGAGACAGTTTAAATGGCAATGGAGGAGGTGCCGGTGTTCCAGCTGGTTCTAATGCCTTGAGTTTGTTGTCTGGTCTACTTGGTAGTAGCAGCGGGTCCAGTGGTACGTCAGCTGGTAGCGGTGGTGGAGTTGGAGGCGGAGATCCATCAACAGGCGGCACAAGTGACGATACAGTTAATATTTTTCTCCAATAAATATATATATATATTATAATCTTTTATTTATGGATATTATTATTTATGTGTTAAAATTATGTATTTTAGGGTGCTGGAGCGGGTGGTTCAGGATCCAGTAGCATAYTGGCTCTGTTAGGGCCACTGATAGGCAGCAGTAGCGTAAGTACTAATTTTCTTTATTTTTAGAAATAAAATATGCTACATTACATAGGTACTGCATACTGCATAACACTGTAGGTATGTACTTTCGTTTAAGAATAACCTAGTTGATTAGTTAATACGTACTACACCACATCAGCAGTAGCACTGTATTAGTATTATTAATATAAATGAATAGCAGTAATAGCAGTAGTAGTAGTGTTAGTAATGATAGCATAGGTTCGTATTTATATTTAGTTTATACTAAACTTAATTTGTGYTTGCTTGACATATTATCGTTATAGTGACGCACCAAAGTATTTAGTCATCGGTGCGTTTGGAGTACTTACATAAGTATCATACAATTAGTACAGAATAGTATACAACACTTCGTATTGCAATGCAAATTTGTCAAGCCRATATTCCGTCACCACGTCCAATGCCTGAAGTGACTTTCAGCTTTAATACCACAACTATCAAAAAATTCAATTTTAATATCCTGTCTCACTATTGTACCGTTGTCGTTGCATGATATTTTATATATGTTTATCACCAAAAGTATCAAATATCACCGTGTTATTATTCTTTAGATTTGTATTTACATATAACTGCACTAACAAACTGTAAAATTGTTGTGCATTTCCTATCACACGTGTGTGTATAGGGAGAAAAAAACTCAGGACCTAGAGGAAGTGACGGCAACGATGATGATGTAGTGGACAAAACAACTGGCTATTTAGATGGAAGTAATGCCATTGGCATTGACGTAAGAAATGGAGATCTTAGGAATTCGTTGAAAACACCGTTGTATACTACAAGGAAAAAGAGGGCAACACCAAAAAATATGGATAGTAAAAACTATGTTGACGATTATGATAACGAATTAGATGGATCATTGGATGGCGACAACGATAGTAATGAAATTATGGTTTCAACGGTGGCAAATGGAAATGGAACTGGAGATAGCGTTGGAATAACGATAACTGGAGCAGAACAAAATGGCGGAGGTGAAACAGATGGCAGCAGCAGTAATGAAAGTGTTGGTGGTGAGGGAGGAGGGGGAAGTTCAAATTCTGGGTCAATAATTGAACTAGTTGGTCCCATTTTAGGTTCGCTTAGTGGCGAGGGTGGTGGTATTGGGGGGCTAGATTCCGGATCTATCCTTGAATTGGCTGGACCTCTTTCTGGGACGTTAAGTGGCGGGGGTGGAGGAAGTGAGGGGCAAGGTGGAAGTTCAGACTCTGGATCAATACTTGACTTGGCTGGTCCCCTTTTAGGTTCATTAAGTGATGGGGGTGGTGGTGCTGGAGGGTTAGATTCTGGATCAATACTAGAATTAGCTGGACCTCTTTCAGGAACGTTAAGTGGTAGTGGTGGAGGAAGTGAGGGAGAAGGCGGAAGTTCAGATTCTGGATCAATACTTGATGTGGCTGGTCCTCTTTTAGGTTCATCAAGTGGTGGTGGTGATAGAAGTGGTTCAGATTCTGGATCCATATTGAACTTGGTTGGACCTCTTTCTAGAACATCAAGTGGTGGCAGAAATAGTGATGCTGAGAGTGATAACGAGCAGGAGGGCAGTGAGGGTGATGAAGAGAAAAATAGTGATGGTGGCAGCAGTGGGTCTACAAACTCCGGATCGATAGTAGAGCTTGTCGGGCCATTGCTGGGGTCCCTTAGTGGTGGTAGTGAGGCAGGTAAGGGTTCTGATTCAGGTTCCATATTGAATCTGATTGGGCCTTTATCTGGATCACTAAGTAGTGGAAGTAGTAGTATGGAAGAAGATAATGGGGGTGGAGGATCAGATTCAGGATCTATTTTAAAACTCATTGGACCCCTGTCTGGTTCATCGAGTAGTGGTAGTAGTGGAAGTGACAGCGTGGAAACAGAGAATGGCAACGGAGGTTCAAATTCTGGATCTATTTTAAACTTAGTTGGTCCCCTATCTGGATCATCAAGCGGTGGAGAAGGTAGTAATGGTGAATCGAATTCTGGGTCCATTTTAAAATTCATCGGACCGTTATCAGGTTCTTTGAGTGGTAGTAATGCCGCAGAAACAGGAAATGTTAGTGGAGGATCTGATTCGGGATCTATCTTAAATTTAGTTGCTCCATTATCTAGTTCATCAAGTGGGGGGTCAGATTCTGGGTTGGTTAAAAACACCACTAAGATGGTAGAAGCAAGGAGACCAGGGGGAGAAGGCTCGAACTCTGCAAATTCAGTTAAGTCTTCTATTTCACTGACTTCGGTAGCAAAAAGTCCAATATTAGCCAATTTGTTTGCGACCATCCTATCGCAATCCTCTGTTGGTGCTGCATCTGCGTCTGCCTCCGCATCTTCATCATCATCTGCATCAACGGCTGTGGCAAGTAAAATTTTTATATATCATGTATACACACAGACGGTGATGATATTTAATCGTGAAGTTTTTCTTGCTATCATTATTACTTATGGTTGTATCCCAATTCAAATATATTTTTAAATTTAGTTACTAGTAAATTAAGTAAAATTATTTAAGTGCCCTCCCATATTTTTTAATATTAATACTTTCGTGCTGCAGTGGTTTAATGGTACGTAACTTTATAATATAAAGTCAAGATATATATTTGCTATGAACTAAATTTATTTATTTTTGTGATCAATCTAGGGTGGAGCTGGTGGTGATGGTGGTGATGATACCAACGGTGGTACAGGTGGTGGTTCTGACATTCTGGGTTTCCTAGGATCGAGCAGTGGTTCCAGCAGCGGTGGACCTGGTGGAAATGGAGCCTCTCCAGCTTCTGGCACCCCGGTAAGAAGGCGTCAGATCGGTGGCTTTTTCCGCCGACCATTCGCTTCAGTGGCAGAAACTAACGAGCAAGATGTCACTTATACACAGCTGTTGAATGACCGACCCCGAGATCTGCGTCGCCGGTTGTGGTTGTAAATCACCAGCGGCAGCGGTAACGGCGGCGGGAGTGTTGTATAATCATTATGTAGTACCTAGTAAAATAGTAATAAAGCACCAACACCAGCTAAAGCTCACTCTGTATGTATGTATATAAATATTGTCTAACCAACCRACCGACAAGTGTCATCTGACGCTTACGTCATAATCATCATCGTTTTCAAAACGATGAATGAATAAATATTTAATATATAATAATATTATGTATTATTTAATTATAATACAATTAATGTACGGATAGGTCTATTACGAACAGCGACAACGACGATAAATTCGATACTAAAATATGATCGTTACACTTGTTCCATTCACCACAAAATACTCTTAATATTTCTCTCTCTCCGGTCATATTATGTGATATTACCTATACATAAATTAAACAAACTTTTTTAAATTTCTTATAAATTTCAGACGTTGGTTGTGAACGTCGAACTTTTGCATATTAGTTTGCTAATTTCACCATAATATGAATAGTATTTGTTCTTACGTGTACCTATATTATGTATGATTTAAAAAAACWAAAACTAAAAGAATGTTTTTAAATAGAATCATACCATAATACATTGTAATATGTAAATAAATAATTTAATATTGTGCGCTGGGAAACATAATATAGATTGATTTGTTATTGATCAAACGGTGAAAATAGATAAAACGAGTAGGTAACTATACAATAGTACATTTTTGATTTTGA